AATGTATGGTGATTAACATAATATAATAAAAAAAAAGTAAAGCAGTGTTTCCCTAAGGGGAATACAGATAATGGAATGGGGTCCAAATATACACATTGGTTTTCATAAACCCCTAAGTAATGAGGTAATGAAGGGAAGTAAAGGACAAGAGAAAAATATAACGACAGGGATTTAGTTATTTGCATACGATTCACCTGGTTGAGAAAGAGCCGTATTGATTTTCAGTGGGTGTTTAACTTAGTGTTTTACATCACTTTTGGAGCCAGCCTGTTATTGTCCCTAAAGAATGCTGTACAGTACACATCAGGGAATGAATTCAAGAAATCATTGTGAAACAACCACTAGGAATTGAGGGATTTTGCAAAGTTCTTTGAACTTTGATATTTACTGAGCAACCACAATTAACGAGCTTCATGGTAGTGCACTTAAATGCAGGGTCACACTTGATAACTGCTAATAAACCAGATTTACAACTCCAAACAGCAAAGCTGGAATATTTGTATTAATATAGCATTGGAATAACTAACATGCTGTTACTAATCAGTATTATTTTCATCTTGTGGGTTTCCTGTGGTCATGGACAAGGTAAGTTGAAACAGATCTGAACACTTACCTTCTCTCTTAAACGTAACTTCATATCATATCTACTTTCGTGTATCTATATTTTTTAATGAATTTACTAGTAAAAATAGTCTGTATTATGATACCATGATGGAGCATAACTTTATAAGGAAAATTTTCTTGTGTTTATCTAATGGGAAAATAAAATAAATTCTGTTTTCTATTTCCTAAATTTGACAGGAGAAGGACACTCAATGCTGATTATGGAGATGTGTGAGTATGCTCACACAACTTTAGGAAATATGTCACAAGAAAAGTGAGATTCTGACCTCAAACTATATGGAGGTTTCTTATTTTTAATGCAAGAAATGGATATCTACATAATCTTGTATATGGTTTTATGGCTTTGTATGTCAAAACTTCTTAAGTTTAGGAGTAGAATATTTGTCACATTTTTTAACTATTGAGAGTCATTTAAAAATCTGAATTAATCAGAAATGATCAACACTTAATAGTAATTTCTATTAATGCAAGAAGATGCTTTTTGGTTGAGATAAAGTCATTCTAAAATATTTTGGATTTGTAGGGGCACCTAGGAAGCTCAGTTCATTAAGTGACTGCCTTCGGCTCAGGTCATGATCCCAAGGTCCTGAGATCAAGCCCCTCATTGGGCTCCCTGCTCTGCAGGGGAGTCTGCTTCTCCCCCTTCCTCTGCTCATCCTCTCTCTCTCACTCTCTCTCTTTCAAATAAATAAAATCTTTAAAATATATTTTGGATTTGAAATAGTGTAAAGTCTGTGTTGTTATTCATAATATGTGGGTATATAATTTTTAAGTATACATTTATATACATATCACTTAACTAAAACTACTTAAAACATAAAAATATCTATCTTTATAGTGCATAATATGTATTTGTCCTAAGCTAGTAGTTTAGTTAAATAAAGTAATTGATGTTTTATTTGGTGAAAACTGCTTTCCCAATTTACTCACACAAAGAAACTTATTAAATCAGACATTTCAAATATATGCAGTTTACTGTATTTCAATTATACCTTAATAAAGCTGTTATGAGGGGCGCCTGGGTGGCTCAGTTGGTTGAGCTTCCAACTCTTTGTTTCAGCTGAGGTCATGATCTCAGGGTCATGGGACCCAAGCCCCATGTTTAGCTCTGGGCTCAGCAAGGAGTCTGCTTCTCTTCCTCTCCCCCGCCCCCTCCCTCTGCTTTCACTCTCTCTCTTAAATAAATATAAATAAATAAATCTTTAACAAAACTAAAGCTGTTACAAGCAATTATGATCAATTTAATATTTCAACAAAATTATCAAGACAATAAATTTTAATTTACATTTCTGAATCCACTGGTAAATATTGAGTAAATAAATAATTTTCAGAGCATTAGCTGTAGCACATTGCTCACTGATTTGTTTTCACCTTTCAAGTAATATATTTTCTAGATTATGTCTCTGAATTCAGTCCTTGTATATTAAAAATTATATCTCATGACATAACAAATATAATTGGTAGATTTTTAAACTTTAGAGAGCAATTTATTTTTGTGTACTTGTTCTAATAGCTTTTTGCTGCATGTGTAAAATCTTTAAGATTTTTATTTATACAATTACATTTTTCTCCTTTCTTAATGTCTTTATAAATTCTTCATTATGATATTTTTTAAAGGCTCTTTCTTTTAAAATCAAAAACTCTCATTTCCAAATTATTATAAATGAAATCTCTAAAGTGCTTTAGGATACTTCATTGCACCATTTTTGAATAGAATATAAATCACAATGCTTTACTTCTGAATTTACTAAAATTCATTTTGGTAATTTGCAGTACACAGAGTTTTATATGCTCTTTAAGATTATATCCAGGTAATTCCCTTTACTAGCACCAATAACAACAAGACAACAAAACATCCCATCTAGTTTGAAACTATCCTCCCTCAGTGAATTCTTTCTGAAAGCAGCCTTTGAGATGAATGCCCTATAAGTTTGGGTTGCACCAATGTTTCTCAAAGGAGAAATGAACTCACTTGGTGGAAGCACACTGTTTTGTGTACAGAAGACATCTTTGTGTGTTTATTGGCATGGGTTGAATTGTGTTCCTGCAAAATTCAAATGCTGAAATCCTAACTCCCAGGACCTGAGAGTGTGACTGTATGCAGAAATAGGGTCTTTAGAGAGGAAATTAAGTTAAAACAAGGTCATTAGGGTGGATCCTAGCCCAATAAACCTGGTGTCCCTATACAAGGAAGAAATTAGAACAGAGACACATAAAGGGAAGACTCAGGGAGAAGAGGCCATCTATAAGCCAAGGACAGATGCCACAGAAGAAACCATTCCTGCTGACACCTGATCTCTGACTTCTAGCTTCTAGAATTACAAGAAAATAAATTTCAGATATTTAAGCCACCCATTTTACAATTATAGTTTCATATGTGTATATGTTCATATATCCTATGTAATGTGTTGTCTAGAGTAGGAAAAGAGGGATGGAAAGGGCCAAGATTTGTGAGGGGAGATCTGCAGAAGACGCAGAAAAGAAGAGACACAGAAAGTGAATAGAGAACTATAAATAGTCTGACCATCCCATCCCAAGTGAATTTCTTAGATCTGAGAAGCCTACTGGATAGAACCACTTTTATTCTTTCCTCAGTTTTTACATTTTAATCTTGGAAATACTTCTGAAGAACTTAAACATCACAAATGTCTCAAATACCTTTATACTCCTGGTTATAGATTGTCCCAGTTCTTGAATCACAAACCTAAGTGGAACAATTAATTTAAATAGAATAATAAATTCATCAATATGATTATTAAAATAAAATATAATTATTCATGTATGATACTGTTTTTTTTTCTTAAGGAGGAACTTGTGATTTTCCAGAAATAAAACATGGAAACATATATGATGAAGACAGATATAAACAAAGCTTTCCCGTTGCTATAGGAAAATATTTCTACTATTCCTGTGATCACAGCTTTGTGTCTCCGTCACAGTCACTCTGGACTCAAATAATCTGCACAGAGGAAGGATGGTCACCAACACCAAAGTGTATCAGTGAGTAAATACATGGTCATTATCTGGATGAATTATTCAGTGCATTCAGTGGGGGAGATGGGGTTGAGGGGGATGTCAGGGGGGCTCACAAAGTCTAGACAATCACAGAGTTGGGGACTGGAGGAGCCAGCAAAGACAAGATAGTCATTCCTCTTTTGTAAGAAGCTGTTTGTGGAAACAAATCAGAAAAAAAAAACCAAGTACAAACTTTTGTGGAATATCTAGATCTTTTCATTTTAAATGCTAATGGTCAATACTGTTAACTGCTACTATTTAATTCAAACACACTCATTTGGTAATTATATGAATGTAGATTTTCTCAAGAGAGCTTATTTGTGGGGCATCTGGGTGGCTCAGTTGGTTAAGCAACTGCCTTCAGCTCAGGTCATGATCCCAGGGTTCTGGGATCAAGTCCCGCATAGGGCTCCTTGCTCAGTGGGAAGCCTGCTTCTCTCTCTTCCTGCTGCTCCCCTTGCTTGTGCTCTCTCTCTCTCTCAGATAAAAAAATAAAAAATCTTGGGTCGCCTAGGTGGCTGAGTTGGTTAAGCATCTGCCTTCGGCTCAGGTTATGATCCCAGGGTGCTGGGATCGAGTCCCACATCGGGCTCCCTGCTCAGCGGGGAGCCTGCTTCTCCCTCTCCCTCTGCCTGTTGCTCCCCCTGCTTGTGCTCTCTTGCTCTCTGTCAAATATATAAATAAAATCTTTTAAAAAAATAAAATGAAAACTCTTAAAAAAGAGTTTATTTGTATGTGTAATATCTGATTCAAAATGTACTGTTCCTTCGAATATTCAAGAAGCATTTTTAAGCTATTTTCCTTAATTTTGTGTTTTTTACTGATTACATCTTTGTTTTTTAAAATTATATCTCTTACCCTCTCAATGAGTACAGAGAAAAAGCAGAGAAGTGAAGAAAACAGTGTCATAAGAGAAAAGTAACAAAGGCAAAGGAGAGAAAAGTCATCTCTTCCTTCAAAAATCAACTTAGACAATCAAATGAGAAATAAAAACTAACTTTTCTGATATCTAGAGGAATTTTACAAATGTAAAAAGTTTTATATATGCATGTGGTGATTGATGACATTACATATTTTTTTCTTTTTAACTTGCATGAATTAATATTTAAGAATCGAATTTTTTGCGCTTGATTTCTCTTTTGAAGTTTGCAGAATGTACTACTCTTTCCTTGCAAGATTTGTATTTGTCATCTTTTCGGTTTTCAGGGCAGTGCTTTTTCCCTTGGGTGGAAAATGGTCATTCGGCATCTTCAGGACAGACACACCAGGAAGGTGACACTGTACAAATTGTCTGTGATACAGGTTACAGCCTTCTATATAATCAGAGCAGCATCCAATGTGCAGAAAGTGGCTGGTCCACTCCTCCTAAATGCAGTCAGCAAGGTAAGTAAAATACTGTCCTTTTGGGATCCTGTATTCTTTTTTTTTTTTATAAAGACTTAGCGGCAGGAAAGATATGCAGCATTGCTGTTGTTGTGATTGTCCCACTTTTAGGTTTAGGGTTCCAATTGTGTCTAAGTAGATATGAAAGTCTCTGGATAGTCACTAGAAAATCATTTTGTCCCCTTACATGAGTTAAATGTAGGCAATATTAGAAAACACTAGTCAAGAACACAATGAAAATCTTTGAAAGATCCCTGCATGTTTTAGTAACACAAATTTAATGTTATAATGAAATTAGGCAAAATCAGTTGACAACAGCATGAAGATAAATTAAATTTTACATAGTGTAATTGTTAAAATACCACATGTGCAAGATCTTACTGCTAGGAAACATAGCTACTTGGCACTTATCTTTTTTGGCAAGTGCTAAATTGATCTCATTTAAAGACTAGCACAAACATATTGATAATTTCCACATTGTTAGAACTTTGTACTTCTGAAATTCAGATTTCCAGGGTATAATTTAGAACATGGAAAACTCCTTCATAAAAAACCACATCAAAAACAGGAATATATTGGAACTGAAGTTGAGCTGAGTGTCTCATACTTTTAATGGAAACAAAGCAGTTGCTGGATGTGAATAAGGGTCTCGGAAATAATAAGATTCCAAAAGCATAGTCAAAGCCTCTAAGGGAACAGTGTCTATTCTAGCCCTCCATATTTTCCCACTCATTATTAATTCATTTAATCAATATTGTGAACTTGTATATGCCAAGCAGTACCACAACTGTTGGAGATTAGTGCTCTATAAGAGTCAGTGTATCTTTATTCATAGACTATAATGTCAAGTGGAAAACTGACAGTAAAAATAATAATTTTACAAAGAAGAAAATAGAAAACTAAAGATGATGAATCATGCACATTATAAAAGATAATATTAATAAAGTGACTGGAAGAAGTTCATGTTTCACATGATATAGTTTTTGAATCTTCTCCAACTTTAAGGATGGCACCTGGAGAAGAGTTAGATCAATCATCTGAAGGCATCAAAAGGCTTGTACTCAATGAAAGAAAACAAGGAGGCCAATGTGGCTGGTTCATGCTGAGGCAGAGTGTTGAATTAATTTAGAAGTTATAAGCCATAGCACATATTTTGGATTTTAGTCTATGTGCAATTAGAAACCTCTGGGAGATTTTCAGCAGGCAAATGACACAAAATGGATTTAAAACAAGATCATTATGAATGCTATTTTGAAAATGAATCTGAAGTGACCAAGAAGAGAAGAAGGGAGGAGTGCCAGTAAAAACATTACCATCATCTAGATGTGGCATGTCCTGGGGTACAATAAAATGGAGAAAAGAAGCATTTTTCTGGAGTTGCAGTTTCTGTTATTTGCAATGTAGAAAAGGAGAGAATTGAACTGTCTGTTACAGGGTGAATATTACAGTATGTCAAGCATACTTTTAAATAAATGGAAAACAAAAAAAATCAAGAAGAGTCTTAACGCCTTAAACTTATGTAATGTTATTTGTCAATTACATCTCAATAAACTGGGGGAAAAAGAAGCAAGTCTGTTGTAGAGAGCATATACATGATGCTGAACATTTTTAGACCTCTTTCTCCAAAACTTTGCTTTTTAATTGGAGAGTTTAATTCATTTAAAGTAGTTACTGGTAACAAAGTTCTTACCACTGCCATTTTAATTTGTTTTCTGTATGTCTCATATCTTTTTGTTCTCAGTTTTCCATTAATGCCTTTTTTTAATGTTTAATGGATTTTTTGTAGTGAACCAATCTGATCCCCTTCTGATTTGCTTTTCTTTCTATTCTTTAGTGATTTATTTTAGTGGTTTCTCCAGGGATTACAAATCACATCTTAAATTTACAATTACCTAGTTTGAATTAGTACCAGCCAAGCTGAAGTAGCATTTAAAAATCTGCTCCTATACATCTTCATTCCTTCCCCTTTTTATGTTATTGTCACACAGTATATCTTTGTTATTGTGTTCCCATTAATATAGATTTATAATTATTGTTTCATGCATTTGTCTTTTAAATCATATAAGAAAAATAATTTAAAAACATAAACACAATAAAATGGCTTTTATATTTCCCTTTATTACTTATAGTTACCTAATGGTACCTATAGTGATCTTTACCATTGTCCTCTATGTCTTCATTTAGCTTCAAGTTACTGTCTGATGTCCTTATACTTCAGCCTTCAGCATTTCTTATAGGTCATGTCTACTTGTAACAAATTCCCTCAGTTTTTGTTTATTGGAGGATGTCTTCATTTCTCCTTCAATCTTGAAGGATATTATGGCCCGATATAAAATTGTTGCTTGATTTTTTTTCCCTTTTAAATATTTCTTATCACTGCCTCCTGACCTCCATGGTTTCTAAGGAGAAATTGACTCTTGATGTTAATTAGGACTTCTGATATGTGATACGTGGCTTCTTCTTTGCTACTTTCAAGATTTTATCTTTGGATTTGATACTTTGATTCTAATGTATCTCAGTATGGACCTCTGCATCTGAGTTTTTTCTCCTTGGAGTTTGTTGAGATTCTTGGATGTGAAGATAATACCTTTTATCAAATTTGGGAAGGTTTCACCAATTAATTTGAATAGTGGTTCGTTTTTCTTCATTTTGTTCTGCTCATTTTTCTTCATTCTTTTTTCTTACTGCTCCTCTTTTGACCTACCTTCAAGTCCATTGATTCTCTTTTTTTGTTATATTTTCTTTTCTTCTTAGAGACTTCTCCTTCAGTCATACTTTAAGGGTAATTCTGCTGGCAACAAATTCAGTTTTCCTTTGAGACTTTCTTATTTTCCTATATTCCTAAAGGATATAGAATTTGAGGTTGATAATTCTTTTGTTCCACCACTTTTAAAATATTGGGCCACTTGTCCTGGCTTCCTTAGTTTTGAATGAGTAGTTTACTCTCATTTGAATCATTGTTTGCCTATTGGTTCTGCATTATTTTTCTCTAGCTACATTTAGGATTTTTTTTTCTTTTCCTTTAATTTTCAGCAATTTGATAATGATGTGTCTTGACATGGAGTAGAGCTTGCACAGTTTCCTGAAGAGGTATATTTATATGTTACATGTATTTGGGGAAATTCTTAACCACAATTCTTTAAGTATTTTTTTTTAGCTCTACACCCTTTCCCCTTTATGGAATGCCAGTCTTATTTATTTTCCCACAAGTCCCTGCAGTCTGTTAATTTTGTACCTTTACATTCTATTTTTAGATTAGATCATTTCTATTCATCTATCTTCAACATCAATGATTCATTCTTCCATCATCTCTAATTTATTACTGAGCTCCTTCCAATGAGGGTTTTTAAATGTTTTATTATTGTATTTTTTCAATGTATAATTCTTATTTGGTTCTTTAAATTCGATATCAAAGAGTTCCACAATCTGAGTGATCTCGAAGTTAGCATCTGTTCATTTTCTTTTCTCTTTTGAGATTTTCCTGAATCTTAGTGTGATGAGTAATTTCCAATTATATCCTGAATCATTGGGGTACAATGTAGTAAGAATTGGGATTTTATTTAAATCTTCTATTTGATCAGGCCTCTACTGATACAACTCTTGCAGGTAAAGGAGGCAATGCCTTATTAGTGCTGGATGGTAAAGGCCTACCACTTGTCTTTGCTGACATCTCCCTAGACTGAGGTTGGGGTGCCACCTTATTACCAAGCAAGGTGCATTTCCAACTATGCACTTGCCTTCCACTGATACCATGGGAGAGGAGAGGTAATTTATTGCTGCAACTGTGGACATAAGTATAGCATAAGCAGTGAGCCTCTGCTCACATCATGGGAAGAGCAAGGAGCACCTTGTTTGGTAGGGCAGGTTGAAAATCTAATCTACCCACTTAGCCTTTCCTGATAGGCAGACTGCAGTGTTTCTATGGTGTTTTTCTAGGATAAGTTAGGTATTATTTAAAAAAAAAAAAAGCATCTGTCTTTGTAGGCTGCTTTTCTTGGCCTTTGCCTAGAAAGAGACTGTTCTCTTTCTCTATTCTTTTGGGGGCTTTTTTTTTTTTTGGTGTAAATTTCATGGCTCTAGGTTGAAAGTTTCTCTCATCGCATGTCTGGGATATGCAAGAAGTAAAAAGAAACCCAAGCAATTCACAGCTGTGTTGCTCCTTTTGTTTCTATATCCCTAGCAAATCTGACTTCTCTACATTGTTCAGAGTTTCCTTATGTTTGTTTTATATAATATGTCACTTTTGTGTTATACTTAGCAGAGGGAGTTAGAAATGCTTCTAGATTCCATCTTTCTGAAACAGGAAGTTAGTATACCCTTTTTACCTTCTATAAATCTGTTTCTTTAATTTTTGCAAGGAGTTGATTTTTAAAAACAATGAAAAAATTAAATGACTAGTGTCCCAAGAGACATTGTAGTAGCTTGTATAAGAGTACAGGAACTTTAGGGGCACCTGGGTGGCTCAATTGGTTAAGCAGCTGCCTTCAGCTCAGGTCATGATCCCAGTGTCCTAGGATAGAGCCCCACATCGGGCTCCCTGCTCAGCATGGAGTCTGCTTCTCCCTCTGCCTCTGCCACTTCCCCTGCTTATGCTCTCTCTCTGTCAAATAAATAAATAAAATATTTTTAAAAAAGAAAAGGTACAGGAACTTTATATGATGGCTAACTATGCAACTGCCCATCATTGCAAACATCATTTTTATACCGGAATATGGCAAAGCAGAAATATTTATTTCTAGTGTATGTGTGATTTAATGTGGCATTAATGGAAGGGCTACAAGATATTGCAATCCTCACTTTATATGATTAGAACTTCACCAATAAATTATTTCTTTCCTCAGAATCACACAAGTCCCAAAATTACATATTGTGCTGCTTCTCAGATATACAGGATATTTTGTATATAATTCCTAATAATTTCACATAACAATACATTAAAAGAAGCAAGTCAAAGTAGGGTTCTATCATAATACTTTTAAAAGGTGGCACAGTTTGATTACTCTGACAAGATCAGTTCTCAGGAGTAGATGGTGTATAGAAAGGAAACTGTTACTTGCGTCCATGTTTACTAGATTCGCATTGGAGAGAGCTCGCTGGAAGCATGAGACTCCCACACAAGGCAACTAACTAGAGGGAGAGAAGCAAGAGCTTTACTGGTTAGAAAGAAAGACTCTGGCACGGGAAGGGTTTAGGGGAGCTAAGGTGGGGCAATGACGTTGTCTAGGGGTCTTTACGGGTTTTACCTGGGCAGGGGGCGGAGGTAACTGCCAATGGGCAGTTTTCCCATTGGTCAGTTTAAGAACTTTTCTATATAAGGCTATGGCGCCATGGACTTGGTGGGCATAGTGCTATGTCCTAGCTTCCTGTTATCCGGGGCCATTGTTTAGCCTTACATGGTCTATTGTCAACTTTTTTAAACTTCTTTAGGCCCCTTGGTGGATTCTTTGTTTAGTGGCTGTTTGTCCGGTTTCAGGCATGGAAAGTTTGACCCACAGATGTTTGTGCAGACTTGCTTCAGCCCAGGTCCCTGACTACCAACAATTCCTTAAGGCCTATCAAAATAAAAGGAGGGGAGAAGACTAGCTTTATTTTAATTGTGTAAAACCTAGTTGTAAAACTGAATTTTTCAGTTATCCTATGTGGCTTTAATTTTAGGCCCACTGAAGATGTCTATTTGTAATCCTGACTGAAATTTGCTATTCAACTGGTATGTTGATCTTTCCTTTTTTTTTCTTTAAATTTTTTATTGTTATGTTAATCACCATACATTACATCAT